ATCAGATTCCCATATATCCCATATTCTATCTACTTAAGGGGGACTATAGATATGCACATACATGTATATATGTATATATGTATATATGTATATATGTATATATGTATACATATATATGGGACCTGGGTGCACCTCCGTCCCTGTGAGGTTGGCTCAGGAGTAGGAGCTTGGGGGTTTTAGTGTTCGGGGTTTAGGGCCGTTAAATCCTAACCCTGAAGCCCTAAACCCTAAACCCTAAACCGCGCGCCTGCACAATCAGGCATTTCATGCAGGTGAAAAGAGGCGCTGCAAAAAAGCCTCAGGACTTAAGGGAGAGGTCTCAGGCTTGTCGTTGGTAAGCGGATGCAATATGATTATGATGAGCCCGCATCTTGTCACTGCTATCCGTCTTGTTCTCCGCTGTATTCCGTTTTCGTTGTTGCTGTCCACTTGATTGTTGTTCTGTATGTTGTTGCCTTCTTCGTTCTTTTTTCTACCATCCATGGCACTTGGTATTTTGTGGTTTTCGGTGGTAGAAAGTCGGGCATCAGTGTGGCAACTACCTCACTAAATTCATGCACTTACATCCCTCAACCGTAAACCCTGTAACATAAGCCCTGAACCCTACACCCTTAAACCCTAAACCCTGAACCCTACACCGCAAAACCGAATACCAGACCCTAAGCCCAAAGCCCTAATCCCCAAACGCTAATCCGTAACCCTGACTTCTCTAGTTTCTAAACCCTGAACCCCAAACACTCATACTTAACTCCTAATTTCTAATCCAGCGCTTAAACCTCGTTTCCAATTTCTACACTGAAAGACCTGAAGCCCCAATCCCTAAACCATTCTACCCAAATCCCTAAACCCCAACCCCCAATCCCCAAACCCTAATCCCTAGACCCCAAACCCTACCTTGTCATTAAACGCTTGACTCTAAACCTTGAAGCGTAATCCCTACGACCCCAAACCCTACCTAGCGCCTAAATCCTTAACCCCAAGGCCTAAACCCCAAAGCCCGCCAAACCCCAAATATCCACAATCCCAAGCCAGCCAGTGCTGCGAAGACTTAGGAGAGATGGCGTTGGATCTGCAGAGGACGGGTTTAGGGTTAGAGAGCTGGTCCTCCTTCATGATTACAGCTGATACGGGGCACATAAGGACTAGGACAAGGACAGGGGCGGGGGTAGATTTGAACGTACATGTTTTTTGGATTCTTGTTGCCCTTACAAAATCTGTGTCTAGTTCTTATATAACCATAAAAGTTAGTTTTTGTAGGGCCCCCAAACATACCCTCGTAGGGTACATACGCTTGATGGACAAGTCCTGAAGGACGTCAAGTCAGGTACCCTCTGTGCCGAAGCCCTACGAATTACGGTGCTACAGTAGTCTTAGGGTCATGCAGGTTTTTGTCTATCAACAGCAGGGACATATGGGGTTATATAGAAATATATATAGAGAGAGAGGGTGCTTAGAGTCATGCAGGATGTGTTGTGCCCACCGTAGGCCTGCAGGCCTAAACCCTTAACCCTAAACATGAAACCCATATGTAGACCGAGGTCTCCTTTCGTTGTAACATTGCAAGAGTGATTGTTGCGGTGATGGTAGTGGGATGGTGAGGGTGGCAAGAAAAGCTCAAAACTGAACCTCATGCATTCCCTTACCTTCTTCAGTGGAAACCTCTAGGTGGGTCGTTGGGGCGGGGGGGAGGGCGGGGGTCTGCCAAAACTCCAAATTCTAAACCTAAGCACAAAACCACGACCGAACGCCCTAAGCCTAAACCTTAAACCAACCCTTAACCCTAAACTCTAAACCCTTAAACCCTAAAACCCTAAATCCGAAACCCTAAACCCTAAATCCTAAACCCCTAAACCCTAAAACCCTAAAACCCTAAAACCCGAAACCCTAAACAGGAAGCTTCAGAAACCGTGTCATACGTCCAGCTCCAAGGCCGCCGAGCATGTTTTTTTTTTTTTTTAATGGCCTTCAGCTCTAGGAAACGTGGCTTAGGGTTGAGGGTTAAGGGTTTTAGGATTTAGGGTTTAGGGTTTAAGGATTTAGGGTTTGGGGTGTTAGGATTTTAGGGTTGAGGGTTGAGGGTTCTAGTGTTTTAGGGTTGAGGGTTTAGGGTTGAGGGTTTAGGGTTCAGGGCTTAGGGTTTTAGGGTTTAGGGTTCAGGCTCTACGGACAATTACTCATATATTGATCCCAGATTCCTTGTATAGCCATTTCCCAAAAACTTGTTCAGTTATTGGGTATTCAGACCGCGAGATTTCCAAGGAAGCCAGGCAAGATACAAGTATCTGAGTCTAAGATTTACTGGATGGGTAGATATTGAGCCATAGTCTGAACTCCTTAAAGCGGTTATATAGGGGATTCTATAGGGGAGCGTAATAGGGCTTAATAAGGTGGATTCCAGGAGTTTAGACCCTAAACCCTAAATCTTAAAAAGCCTTATACTAGGGGTTACTAGCAGTTTAGACCCTAGACCCTAAACCTTACAAGACCCTATTATCATAGGTTTTATTCAGGGGGATACTAGGAGTTTGGATTGCGCTCATTGCGGAACATGTATAGGGATCAAAGGATCCTAAAAGCCAGGTGTGCACCCCTAGGCGGTTTAGGGTTTAGGGTTTAGCGCCCCAAATAGCCCCGGAAACCTAAACCCCAAACCCTAAACCCCAAACCCCTAAACCCTAGACCCCTAACCTTAAACCCTAAACCCTAAACCTTAAACCAATCCTAAACCCGAAGCCCTTGACCATGACCTTACACCCTCAGCCTAAACCTTACCACCGACGTGCCACAACTGGCCACAGGGTCCGCGCGCTCTGCACCCATTTGGGAATGATGGGTTTAGGGTTTCAGGGTTTAGGGTCTGGGGTATAGCCTTGGATTTTGGGTGTGTTGTACGCTGTCTCGCACTTTGCGTTTCAGGGACCACATGGTGATTCTACAGCGGTTCGGGGTTTTGCGGGCTTTCCCAGAGAAACTGCCAATGACTTGGGATTCCACTTCTAATCCCGGCGGCGAGTGCTTGTACCCTTTCAACTCATTGCAAGCCCGTAGCCTTTCCCACTTTACGAAACCTATCTTTTGGGAGTCCCTAAAATTAGGGTGATCGCGCATTGGGATACGTATATATATATATATATATGTGCATTGGGATATATATATATATAGAGTCACCCCCCAGGATCCACCCTGCTCTTCTCTCATGCCCTTCTTGTCCTATCAATGGAGTCATTAAGGCATGTGAGAACTGACATATTTATATATGTATATATATATAGATATGTATGTACGTATATATATATATATATGTAGAGGCGCCCCTGTTTATGCAAATTCCCAAATGCTCAGCTCAAACTCGAAAGCCTAAACCCTGAACCCTTGACCCTAAAACCCTAAAACCCTAAACCCTGAACCCTAAAGCAAAAACCCTGAACCTTAAACCTACTCCCCAACCTGGGTGATCAAATTTTTGGTCCAGGCAACGCCGGAGACTGCGATCAGCCTAGCCTCGAGGAGGTTGGACAGAGCAGCATTTGAGCTATAGGGTTTAGGGATTTAGGGTTTAGGGATTTAGGGTTTAGGGATTTAGATTAGGGTTTAGGGATTTAGGGTTTAGGGTTTAGGGATTTAGGGTTTAGGGATTTAGGGTCCAGGGTTTAGGGTTTTGGGGGATGTTATGGTACCCAATATTACCCCAATAATGGAGAATCAAATGGAAAAGAAAATGGAAAATGAAATGGAAACTTGGATTATAGGGTAGTTAATAGTTATTTTGGGGATACTCTGGTACCCCCATTATAGAGTAAGATTATATCCTGCTTTCGGGTATTGTATTTTGTACAAGGAATATTATCTTACTAGGTTTAACCACCAAAAAAATTGCTCATTTGAGCTATAGTCTAAACTCCTTAGAGGGGATTCTACAGGGGAGCATCATAAGGCTGATCAAGTGGGATACTAGGAGTGTAGACTATGCCCATTTAGGGTTTATCGTTTATATAACGTGCGCAGAAGTTCCAGTTGTATTTTACTAGCCCTTATACAATCTTGAAACAGGCATAACGTGTAATCTTTGTAGCTCTCTCAAACCTAGTTTTGGGATTAGAGTCCGGGATGTAGGGTTTAGGAGTTAGTGCGCAGACGGATCGGATCTGCAATGATCGAGGCCATTAACATGAGATCTGGTGGTTTAGGGTTCATGGTTTAGGGTTTAGGGTTCAGGGTTTGGGATTTAAGATTCGGGGTTCAGTTTGGGGTTTAGGGTCCGGGGTTTACTTTAGGGAGTGTTTCGGGGTTCAGAGTTCAGGTTTCAGGGCATGAGTTTCTCGTTGCTCAACCGTGTCAGTGCGGACATGATTGGTGCTGGCCAACTGTGGCTGAGAAACCAGACTGTAGGTATCCACATGTTAAACCCTAAGCTCTAAACTCTAAACCCTAAACCCTAGACCCCTGTGGTGTTCTCGTAGCTACAATACTATGGCTCGCGAAAAGAGACCCCTAACTTTGGGAAGCCTTGAGCCCCATGAATACCTACATGGTCCCAATATACCCCTATACAACCCCCTTAAGGTACCCCCTCCCCCATACTTCTTATTAGCATTTATTCTTGTTTCTTAGTAGGCATGTCGAGTTCTTGAAGCACTGCCCGGAGCATTGAACTTGATGTCAGACTGAAGCACGTCAGTCCAGCTTAAGGGTTTAGTGTTGCGGCTTTAGGCTTTGGGGCTTGGGGTTGTCGGCCCTGTTTGCCATGCAGTCTAACTGCGTCGGAGGTTGGATGCGTTGCAGGATTGGATGTCAAGACAAACGCCCTACAATGCTCACAACACGTTTGTGCATCTTTCTCAAACTCGAAAGAGTGCAAGCGCTGTGTTTGGATCCAGCTTGTAGATGTAGGTCCTGTCGTTCCCATATCCAAGCGGTTATTTCTTTTTCAAAGTATGCTGCCTGGGACCTCCGAGAAGCTCATCGTCACCCAGATGTCGGGCCATGAGCTTGAGGTTGATATGGCAGCAATCCGACATGACTGCAAAATGTCCCTGGGATGTCCTAGATATAGCATTAAGGCTTAGGGTTTGGGGACGTCCAGGAATATGGGGTTAGACCCAGGAAGGATCATCCCGATCTGTTTGAGCATTTCTCCATGAGACCCAGGTATGACATCAAGAGGCTGCTGTCCCTGAGGCAGTCTTGTCCCACGTTCAGGCTTACGTTGCTGAACGGTGGGACAATCCTGGACAGCCGAGACAGCTGGCAAAAGTTGGGAAAGCCTACACGCCTGACAATGGTGCAGGCTGCTCCTGTGACATGCTGGTGCTTAGTAGATAATGGCGGTTTAGGGTTTCGGGTCGCAACGGGCCCCTATAGTAGTCCGTATATGAGCCTGCTGTAATGCGTTTGACTTTCCATACGCTTAAGCTGTTGCCAACCACTAGATAACCCTATTTTCCCTTCATTTTTCATGTATGAATCTCCTTTATTGCGGTAGTGACCCTAAGCCCCAATAACCCCTCTAGAGTCTGTAGAGTCCTGATATACCTCCTGTGTAGCCCCTATATAACCCCTATATACAGACTAAACCCCTAAACCTAGCCCATATATAACCGCTCCAACCACCAACAAGGTAGACAGCTTTGTCTATGACTTTTGTGAAGACCTTTTAGATGCAGCTTCCCGGGGCGACGTCCTGGATGTGGACGAGACTAGGCTTGCTGGAAGGAATGGACAAGGGTTTGGGGTTTAGGGTTAGATCTTAAACCATAAACCTTAGACCCTCAACCTTAGGCCTTAGACCCTAAACCTTGTCCCCTAAACCTGAGGCCTTAAAACCCTGAACCGTATAAGCCAAAATCTTAAACCTGTAGCCCTAAACCATTTGGATGTGGGTCTCAGGGTTTATAGGGACTGGCAATCAAAATCGAAACTATACCTTCGTCCCCAGACCCAAACTCTAGGGTCTAAGGTTTAGGGTTTTAGGGGGTGGCAGGTCGGGAGACTTAGGTTGAGGGTTTGGGGTTTAAGTTGGGTACTGCCCCCCCAGTAACGTTCTATATTAGGGGTCCTATTAAGGGCTATTTATAACCATATTATATTTGTTATCCAACTGTTACTGAGGGGGGCAGTACCCAAGGTTTAAGGTTTAGGGTTTAGGGTCTAAGGTTTATTCCCACGGTATTGTACAGGAGGATTTATTCAGTGACAGCTTGGCGGGGCATCTTTCGAAGGCAGCCCAAGGCCCTGAATCCCAAACCCTAAACACCACCTACGACCCCTAAACCCCAAAACTGAGTTCTGCACCCTAAACCCTCAACTCTAAATTCGAAATTCGACCCCCTAAACAAGCCCTATACCCTAAATTCTGACCCCTAAATTCCATACCCAGGAGATCTTAGCCAAGGGGCAGTGTCCAGATGTCCTCACGCCGGGCGGGGAATCAGTCCTTTTCGTGGCAGCGATGAACGGATACCTCGAAGTTGCACAGGCGTAGAGTGGATGTTACGGGGTTTAGGATTCAGGGTTTAGGGTTTAGGGTGTAGGATGTAGGGTTTTGGGTGGGCGGCTTAAGGTTTGGCGTTCGGGGAGGACGTAGGGTCTCGGATGTTTTCTAATTTCTATTGTAGTATAACCTCAAGGCAGTTTTTGAAACATATGTTCAAACTAGCTCTACGAGGATTACTACACACAGTCATAGGCAGATGTATGGTACTTGGAGGTCCATCGGACTTAGTAACTACTTATAACCGGACTTATAATCCTACTCATAATTTCCCTGCAGGAGCTTATAGGGGTTACCCCAATTTCTAGTAGGGTTATAATCCCCTAAACCTTAAACCGTAAACCCTAAACCCCTAAACCCCTAAACCCCTAAACACTAAACCCCTAAACCCTAAATCCTAAACCCTGAGCCCCCAATTATTAGTAGGGTCATAATCCCAGTTATAAGGAGGGTTTAGGCCGTAGGCGTCGGCATTTGAGTCAAGGGCTTACTTAGCTTCGAGGCTTCAAGAATACTAGTGTTTCTTTTGTTTAAGGTTTAGGGTTTAGGGAGCCAGCATAAAGATGTAGGGTTTAGGGTTTAGGGTTTCGTGTAGCATGTTGAACATATCAGTTGAATAAAGTGGCACCTCACTGAAAAGTGCAGCTTCAGGTTTTGAAAGTTAATTTCCACTTCCCTCATGAAGACCTGTATCTTGCCGAGCTTGAATGCACACAAGAGCGTAGAAGTCCACGACATGGCGGGTATTTCTGAGACGGCCCGTAAGAATGGTACTTTAGGTAGGCACGAAACACGAGTGTTATCAACAACGGTAATATGTGGTAATATGTGGTAATTATGAGGGACCGTAGGATAGTCCCTAGTCATAACTTGCATATCTTCCCTCCCAAGCTTGTACCTTCTAACCGCTTGAACCCCAACCCAAGCGTAAGCTGCCGAGAGCAGGAACGATAGGAATAATGACATATGCTACAAAATTCGGCATGACCTTATTCGCCTAGAATACCATAATTCCCAACAAGGTATAAGGTTGTTAGGGACATGCAGGAGTACATGGGTCTCTTTTGGGTCCTTACAACGAAGATCCTGCTATTTCACGATCTTAGCGTATGCGACGAGGATCCAACTTTTGCGAAACGCCAAGAACGTTTGTGTAATGGGCGTCCTAGATTGTAAACCAAAGTTTAGTACAGTCCCTAATACAGTCCCTAATTCGGAATCCATGTCCGAATTTCTAGGAGAAATGTTGAGTGTAGTTCGAAAAGTTGTTTTTCTTAAGCAAGGGGGCACCAGTATAGACCTTGCTATATTACAATCAATAGGGGCTCCCAAAGGTACCCCCTTAATTCTGAGAAACCCTAGTTCATCTCTCCAAACCACCAGATAATCGCAGTTTCCATTTAATTCTAAATAATCTTTTCATTTGATTTTCCACTTTGGGGATACTGACTCTAAACCCTATATATCACATCCTACATCCCCAAGATGCCAGCGGATACCCCCATCCTAAACGCTAAATAGTATGAGTCAAACAAACATTCCATCCCACACTCTACATCCTACGCCCTGAACCCTAAACCCTATATACCCTGTGCAATCTTTATATAAACCTATAAACCTCCCAGCGGATTTGCCTAGCCTCCTAGACCACTGCACTCTGCCCCTCTTCCAGGGTACCGATTGTTTTTACATAAAGATGAGATTAGACATAAAGTTAGGTATCCTAAAGAAAGGGTAGTACATGATAGTATATAACCCCACACCTCTAATCCTAAACCCTAAGCCCTCAACTCTCAGCCCTCCACATCCTAAACCCTAAATCCTAAGTCCTAAGTCCTAAGCCCCAAATCCTAAGCCCTAAACTCCAAATCCTAAACCCTCAGCCCTGAACCCCTGAGTCGTTCAGGCGCTCTTGGGCGCCGGCGCGAGCTTGGACCGTCGAGTTCGAGGCTCTTTTACGCCAAAGTAAGGGATGTTTCAAGGGTTTAAACCCTAAACCCTAATCCTTAAACCCTGAACCCTAAGCCCTAAACCCTAAACCCTAATCCCTAAACCCTAACCCCGTTTAGGGCTTAAGGCTAAGTGTCTAGGATTTAGGGTTTGGGGGTTTAGCGGCTTAGGTGTTTGGAAGCCCTAAGCAGTAAACCCTAAGCATTTTTTGATGGTTTTGTGGTGGGTTTCGGGTTTCGGGTTTAGGGTTTAGGAAACTGTCCGAGGCTGGTATACGCCTTTGTACATCGCGTGCTGGCAAGGACATGGGGGATGCAGCAACATGAGCCATAGTCTAAACTCGTTGAAGGGGGTTCTATGGGGGACTTTAAGGGTTATTGAGGAGGCTACTACGAGTTTAGACTACAGCTCACATGAGCTTGGGGTTAAGGACTAAGGTATGGAGGGCTTAGGGTTCAGGATTTTGGGTTTAGGGCTTAGGGTCTGGGATTCAGGGCTTACGGGTTAGAACCCTAAACCCGAAACCCCACCCTAAACCCTAAACCCTAAACCCTAAGCCCTAAACCCGAAACCCTGGGGGTTCGGATTTCGGGTTTCTGGCTCGAGGCCTGAAGGGATCCAACAAAATAAGAGCTTTGTCCCTGAGGAGAAATTAGGGTTAGGGTTTAGGGCTTCAGGGTTTAGGGCTTCAGGGCTTCAGGGGTTTAGGGTTTAGGGTTTAGGGGTTTAGGGTTTAGGGTTTAAGGGCTTCAAAGCAGTAAATCTCCATACTCTCGGTTGTGTGTAGGGTTTAGGGTTCAGGGATTAATCTTCACATGTGACCCACGTGTGTTATTCTGGTTTAAGACGGATAAGAGTCATGGTCATTGACGAGGTGAGACATCTGAACAGGTGGTTTAAGGTTTAGGGTATCAGCGCGTAGACATACAATAACATGTGTGCTATTTCTGGTCTCCCCAAATGGACTCCCAGTATTTACACTCACCCAAACTCCTAAGGAAGCTTATATACACTCACCCACAACCATACCAAAAACCCTAGTTGATATCATATATCCATAGGCTATGCAACGGCAGCCTTTCGAGAAAAAACGCATATTTTTGTTGTTCGCACATTTTCGGCTACTTCTCACTTGTTAAACAGAGCAAAGCTAAAGCCAATCCCCGAGATGGGGCCAGCCAGGCCAACACCCAGGTCCGGGTTTAGGGGTTGACTAGGGGTTTAGGCCCCTCCCCCTAATATTAACCCCCCCCCCCTCACCTCCCTCATATTGAATACTCCCGGTTGTAGTATATTATATTATATAGGGCAGATTTAATATTGCGGGGGGTTAATATTAGGGGGAAATGGATTATTGCACACTTTGTAAGTGCACCTAAAGCTCAAGGACGACCCCATTAGGGGACTAAGGGGGCCCATAGCTGGGGACAACCCTAAAAACATGAAACCCAGTAGTTTGCTGGATGTAGGCCTCCCTAAGCCCAAAGGGTTTAGGGTTTAGGGTGAAGTATATCAGTAGGACAAAGTTACTGCGAACCTCCAAGTATCATTTGTCATCACTACAGCTTCATGAGATCATAGGTAGTCCTGGTATGACAACCCAGAACACAACATGAGAACTGGCAAGTTGACTTTGCAATTCCAGGGTTTAAGGAGCTAAGGGCTTAGGATTTAGGGCCATATGCCGCGATCATGACAGCCATAAGCAAGAACCGGCGCTTGGATTGAATTGTGTAGGGCTTCCATATGGTAATTTCCTTAAATAGGGGGACCCCAATATGG